TCCCCCCTCTCATATCCCTTCGTTTCCAGCCTAATGTCGCCATCAGGACATCTCCCCTCTCTCTCTATTTCCCTTTTGTCTCCGAAATCCGTCCCTCTTTGTCTCTCTTGCATCTTTTCTCACCTCTTCCTACCTCTTGTCCCATTAACTCTTCCCCAATCTGATTCATCTTCGTAGTTCTTCCCCATCTCTTTCCCCCATCTCTTCCCCCATCTCTTCCCCCATCTCTTCCCCCCATCTCTTCCCCCATCTCTTCCCCCATCTCTTCCCCATCTCTTCCGCCATCTCTTCCCCTCTCTTCCGCCATCTCTACCTCCATCATTTTGCCCATTTGTGTCCTGTTTTTTTCTCCCTTCCATCTCCCTTCAGATCTCTCTCTCTCTCTCTCTCTCYTCTCTCTCTCTCTTCTCTCTTCTCTCTTCTCTTCTCTCTGCCTTCACTTTTCTAGCCTTTCTCTCTTCCATATATCTCGGCTCTCTGTACTCCCTCTTTCATGACCTATCTCGTTTGCGTGTGTTTCGTGTGCCTTCCATCTCTGTCTGACCTCCTTCCCGTCCCTCGTGTCCTTCAACTGTTTAACCCTCCGTTTGCAGTGTCTCTCCTCTGTCTCCCTCCCTCTCTTCCTCCTCTTCCTCCTCTCTCTTCCTCCTTTTCCTACCTCTCTTCCTCCTCTTACTCCGTCTCTTGCTCCCTGTCGTCCTTCATCTGCATCACTGACTTCTGCCGCACCTTTCTCTCATCTCGTTTTCCCATCTGTCTCGTGTCTCTGTCCTCTCATTTTATCTCTCTTTCATGACCTACTACCTCGGTTCAATCTCTTTGACGTCCCCATGTCTTTCAACTATTCAATTTTCGGTTTGCTGTCCCTCCATGTGTCCCCTTCCGCTTGCACTTCTGTTTTCACTTCTGTACGTCCTCTACTCCTTAATCGTCGTTTTAGTTACGTCTTCTCCTTCTCTCTCCCTCACCTTTCTCTCACCTTCTTTCTCTCCCCTCTCTCCCCTCCCTCTTCTCTCTCTTCTGTCCCGGCTCGTTCCCGTGTTTCTTTCATCTCTCTCGCACCTGTTCTTCTCCCCGTTCTCTCACTTCTCTCTCCCATCTCCCATCTCTCCTCTCTCTCGTCTCCGATCTCTGGCATTCTCTCTGACGTGTCCAGTTGCTGTGCTCTCCACGTGTCTTCCCCACTGCCTCTCACCTTCTCTCTCTCTCTCTCACCTCTCTCCCATCTCTCTTCACTCTCGTCTATGTGTCTCGTCTTCTCGTCTTTCTTTCAGCTGTCTCTTTCTCCTATGATGATCTGGATTCCTTGCGCCTATCGCGGTGTCCCCAATCTCCGGCGATCTCTCTGAACGCGACAGGTGCATCTGTACGCGTCAGAGAGATCAGGAATCCAGGTGTAGACTGACAAAACGAGAGTAGGAGAAGATCACGCAGAGAGCAGGAGAGGAACATGTGTACAGTGGGAAAAGGAGGGTTGTGGGGACCACGTGCGGAGTCCAATGGCCATCATTGCTCGCCGCGTGTCTTCCCCAGAACTGAGAAAACGTTTTCTCAGTGTACGGGTGTTCTTCTTCTTAGCTCCTTTTTTTTCTTTTTTGACAATTTGCTTTTAGCGGCGACTCTGATATTCCTCTCCCTGGAGCAAGTCGTCATCGCCACTGGTTTCCGATTTTTGTTGGCTGCCCACGTGCGCTGCCTGTACTGCGTTCTCACGCCTCCCTCTCCCCTCCCTCTCCCCTCCCTCTCCCCTCCCTCTCCCCTCCCTCTCCCCTTCGTCTCCCCTCCGACGAAACAGTTTGTCACAGCCCCTCATTTGTTGAAATTCTCTTCTACCTCTCTGCCTACGGTTTACCGGGCAGCTCTGTCTGACGATAGATGTGTGACACTATATATATATGCTTACGCTCTTAGTGAATAGTTCTGTGACAATATATATATGATGAGTCGGTGAAACTCCGACGAAACAGTTTGTCACAGCCCCTCGTTTGTTGTCCTCTTCTCTCTCTCTGCCTACGGTTTACCGGGCAGTTCTGTTTGTGACCGTAAAACGATAGTGAAGTCGAACAAGCATCTTGGGTAGTTTGTGCTAGCGATCGGTATCTCCTGTCTTTTTTTTGGGCATGCTCTGCCCTTGTCGTGTCGAATTCGAAGTAAGCCGAATGTCCAGAGTGCAGAATTGACTGCACATGCACTTTCTTCTTGTTAGAGCCTTTCATAATTAACTTAAGGTAACCCTAACGGTCGCTATAATAGAATAGAATATAATCTTATAGATCATACATTATAAATCGATTTGATCTGGTATCAATAAAGTTAAATATCTAAAGTCAAATATGTATTATAAAGTAATTAATGTACATAATTTAATTGATGTCCATAATGAATATACATACGATTTCTAATATCATCTATAGATATTATTTATTACGTTATATGTAAAAATAATAATTGAATATAATTATAATAATTTGAATAGAATTCAACGAATAAAGAGTAATAAGAAGGCGGCCATGTACGCAAGAGGTTCTGAACAGGGGGAGTTGGAAGGAAGAGGGGAAAAAAACGCAAATTGTTTTCTTGATTTTTTTCGCTTTGCGCTCTGATAACTTTGTGACGATATATAGAAACATAAATACAGAATGCTAAATTTATCATAAAAATATATATATTCATTAATTACTGTATTTCCCGCCGCTTCTCTCTTCTCTCTGTTCCCTTCCTACTAAACCCCTTCTGAGCTTGCAACGCTCTACTGCTCTTCTCAGTGTCGTGACCTCCCTCTTTCCCTTGAAAACAGCGAACCAAAACCGTAATTGGGTGAACCCATTGTTGTACATCCTCTCTTTTTTTGAAGTTTCTTTTGCTTTTTAAATCTCCAAAGCAAATGAGACCGTAGTGGGTGTGACACTGATTTGGCTTTATCTGCTTCGGCATTTCTGCGGACTCTCCAGTAGTGCGTGCTGTCGAGAGGCGGTCTGTCTGCTGGTTCTCATGGTCGGGCGTTTTGTTGCTGATCAGGTGCTGAGCTTTTGCTGACCTGTTGCTGACCTATTTCGGATTTGCTGCTGACCTGTTTCTGATCTTTTCTGACCAATTGCTGACCTGTTCCTGATCTATTCCTGACCTTTTGCTCACCGTTTGCTGACCTTTTGCTCACCGTTTGCTGACCTGTTCCTGGCCTTTTCCTGATCAATTCGTGACCTTTTGCTCACCGTTTGCGGACCTGCTCCTGACCTTTTCCTGATCTGTTGCTGACCTGTTCCTGATCAATTCCTGACTTGTTGCCCATCGTTTGCTGACCTGTGGCTGACCTGTTGCTGACCTGTGGCTGACCTGTTGCTGACTTATTCCTGACCTGTTCCTGACCTGTTGCTGACCTGTTGCTGACCTGTTGCTGACCTGTTGCTCACCTTTTGGGCACCTGTTCCTGATCTTTTGCTGACTTGGTGTTGACGTGGTGCTGGCTTGTTGCAGGCCCTGGTGCTGACTTGTTGCAGGCCTGTCGCTGATCTGTCGTTCTGTTGTTTGACTTTGCCTGCAGTTCGCATGCTCAGAGAAGAGCTGCAGTTGCTTCAGGAGCCGGGATCGTATGTGGGCGAAGTTGTCAAAGTTATGGGAAAGACGAAAGTGCTTGTGAAGGTAGGTGAACCTGCGCATCTTTATTGTGGTGCGAAAAATGAAGGGGTGTAGGGGGAAAGGCGAACGTGCTTGTGAAGACAGGCACGCGCTTGTCGGCACACTGTGGTGTGAAATTTTGAAGGGTGGTGAAGTGCTCGGATGGGCGGGAGGATGATGTCTGCGAAGCCTTTCTCGCTTATACATGCCAGACACGGCCTAGGGGACCTCAGTCCTGTAGAGGAAAAACGCCAGGTGGCCGCAAAATAAGAGGAGAGAGAGAGAGAGAGAGAGAGAGAGAGAGAGAGAGAGAGAGAGAGAGAGAGAGAGAGAGAGAGAGAGAGGGAGAGAGACGACCTCGCTTGTGATCGGAATAGTTGACTTGGTGGCTACCGTAGTCGCATTATCAGTCAGGGAAAGTATTCAGCAGAATTTACTTGGCAAAGTTTTAGATCGTTCTGAACGTGGATGCGAGACCTATTGGACGAATAGGATGGGTTTTGCGTCCACGTTCAGAACGATCGTTCTCCCCTACCTTCTTCACCCGAATACAACGTACGGTCATTATCACTGTATCTAGACTCAAAGTTGCCCCAAATACAGCTATAATGACGGTACGTTGTATTCGGCTGAAGACTGTAGAATCATTTTGGCTATCATGTATGAGAGGGCAGCTTACCCATCAAAGGGGTCCTCGGCAAATGCGGCTGCTATTTGTTGGTGTGCTGTGCTGGCCATTGTCCTTGCGGAGAGGTCGTCACAAACAGACACCCTTTGCTCTCTGTCTTGCTGGGAGGTGGTAACTCGGCGAGAGAGAGAGAGAGAGAGAGAGAGAGAGAGAGAGAGAGAGAGAGAGAGAGAGAGAGAGAGAGAGAGAGAGAGAGAGAGAGAGAGAGATTGTAGGATAAAGGGGGTGTTGCAGTTGACGCAATCAGTCCCATGCAGCCAATTGGAATTTTAGGCGCGGGCAAAATCGCCCATCGGAAAAAGAGAGACTTAGAGCTCCTGGTTGGTGTGAAATTAGCGAGACATAACAGGTAAATTCGGAAGAGACAGAAAAGATGACCATGGCCACTATGCAAGGATAGCACACAAATCATCGAGAAATGGTGTTAAGGAAAATAAAAACAAAAAAACAAAAAAAGGGAATCGAAACAATCGTAGTAGTCTAACAAGCAAAGTATACTCAGGTTTATTGTCTGGTCACGTTTACAGGCACGTCAGTTTTATAGTCAGGTCTGGCTTACAGGCAGGTCAGGTATATAGTCAGGTCAGGTTTATAGTCAGGTCTGGTTTATACTCAGGTTTATCCTCAGGTCTACACAGGTTTGTACTCAGGCCTGTACTCAGGTTTATATTCAGACCAGGTTTCTACTCTGGTTTCTAGTCAGGTTTCTACTCAGGTTTCTACTCACGTCTATACTCAGGGCATACTCGGGCTTAACGATCCTCTGCGCGTGTGTGTGCTTGCCGGACTGTGATCTCAGTGATCAGTCATTTCTTGATTACCTTTCCTGTTTTCCTTTCGGCTTTGTATTTTCTGTCGTTTTCGACCATTTTCTCCCATTCTTTATGAGATTATATTCATAGACCAAGTCCTGCGGCGTGCCACAGCCGACGGGTGCGGGCAAAAATTTCCCTCTCGTCTCTGTGCGGGAAGCAGCCACCGATTTCTGGTGGGCAGATCTTGCCAGCAGTATTGCCCTGCTCAGATTATCAACAGGCGAGGTCCCTAAAAAAAAAAAAAAAAAAAAAAAAAAAGGCGAGGTCCCCCTTTTCTGCCACGATCTTCTCGACACCTGGACAGGGCTGCGGTATGCAGGATGTCCGCTGGGCAGTAGCATGCGGGCCAGCTGAACCGAAGTATTCTCGAATATTCAAATCTTGATACAATAATTCTACGGTCCTGTGTGGACAGGATGGTGATGTATATGTGGGTGATATATGCCGTGGGTGATACGCGCTAAATGGGTTGGGTGGCAATATGTGGGGTGGGACACGTGCTAAATGAGTTGGGTAGCAATATGTGGGGTTGGGTGGCAATGTGTGGTGG